ACTACTACTATTGCTGTTACTATTACTATTACTATTACTATTACTCTTATTATTATTATTGTTACTATTGTTATTATTATTACTATTCTTGAAGGTCAGGAGCTGAGTGAAGGTGACGGGGAGTGGGGCGAAAGAGTAGGGGCAAAGTTGCTGATGGGAAAGCCTGGAACAGAAATTTGGGCTCTTTCGGTTTCTGTCGAAGTGAAAGATCCTGTCTGGCTGTGTCTGCTTTCATTTTGAAGGCTCAGGGGTTCTCAAGGAACCGAAAGTTGACCTCTGCAATATCCTGCGGCTGTGCATGCCCAAGCTCTGGCTGGTCCCAAGGATCCAATGCACCAGTATACCACCCCATGAGCTCTCCACCCTTTGCTCGCGCGTGAACAGGGTGTTGCCCCCTCCCTCCCGTTAGTACCTTCTTGTAATCTTGCCGTGGCGGGCTTTACATTGTTGTCGTGACTGTCTTCTCCGGGTTTGGGACATGGAAACCCACCCACACGCACAGACAGAGACAGAAGCACGAAAGCCTGACAAGCCTGAATCAGAGCGACCCAGTCACTGGAGAGGCTGGAGAGGCATCAGTACATTAGCTGACCCGGAGCCTGCCAAGTTGAATGAGGGAGTCTAGAAAAAGCGACGCGACTTAGCTGCAGAGGTAATCGAGCAGAACCTAGCAAATACAGCGGAAATGTTGAGCCAAGCAGTGCCTGGCAGAATGCGTAATTGAACAAATCCCTGAAAATCCGAGAAGCTTGTGCCAAATTTGCATGATTGACTCTGGAACTTGCAGAGCCAGGCTAATTACCCGACTGCTGACTTCGTTTGAAAGTCCCTTGGGGCCTTGTTGAACGTTGGTCCCAATTGTTCCGCTTTGCAGGCATAAAGCAAAAACGATGTAAAATTCTCATCGAGGCCTTGAAAGCCTGGGGCGGATCTCGCACGAAGGGAAGGAAGCTCTCCGAGTAGGTCGTGACCTGGCCGAAGGCCAATGAGGACGCCTAAGGCTAACGTCCTGGACTCGAGGCCCTACAGATCCTACAGCATAGGCCTCAGGCGACGTCGCCTCTTGCAACCAGACAGCTCCCTTCGAAACCGAAGAGGGGAAGCCTTCCCTCGCCCTCGCGTAAGCATCCAATCCTATCCGGCCCTAAAAGTTTAAAGAAGGATAGCTTTTGGAGTCCGGCAATTTGGCTCAACCCGAACGCGTCGGGTGGACGTAGCGCCCCATCTTTGGTCCTGGAGCCTGGCGTGGACAGGAACGCATTGAGCCGGCGGACTGGGACTGGAGGGGCTTTGAAGTACATATGGTGCATAGGGACATAACTGCGACGGCTGCCTAGTCGCGCGCCCCGACAACCTGGACCCGGGAAGTGAGGTCGTTCCGTCCGCTGGTCCGCTGGTTGTTGCTAACCCGTTTCAACAAAACCATCTTGGCCAGCTCCCAAGCCTTGGATCCCGTCGCACCGCCGGCATCACTCCTGAAGAGCATCTTTGCAGAGGCGGGGGGGATGCACGGAAACGAGTCGTCGAGGGTTTTTCGGGTCGGATATTTTATCGCGTCCAGATAGCTCGAAGTGGGCCCCTCCTTGGCAGCTCCGGAACCTCGTAGAGATCCGCGTTTCTTAGCGAAGGATGATGTCGGAAAGCCTCCCCGTAGCTGGTCCTGCACTGCATAGGCGTTACGTCCACCAGTCTCAAAATGATCGAAGCGAATCCGATCCCGGCGGGAGGCCTGAAGGAGGCCCCGTCCAAACGGGCCAGGGCCTGTACACACGAGCACAGCCAGAATTTCCTCTTGTCGAGCACTTTCGTTTTGGGCAAGCCTTCTTCGTGGACGCTGGCAGCGGCACACGGAAGTTTTGCCTTGGCACTCGTTTACCCTCAGCGTGCGAGAGTCGGGGCGTTCAGAGAATTTGCAGAACTTGCCTTCCTTGCAAAACTGTGCGCGTTGACCATGCTGAGTCTCTTGCTGGGACATCCATTGTCTGCGCGGATCGCCGTCGCGCGCCATGGCTTGCTGTGAGCGGAGATTTTGCCTATCTTTATCTGTCCGTGGACAACCGACACGGACCGAGGCCCGAATCGCAGCTGTGCGGAAAACCCACGCAAGAGTCACCGAGTCATCGACACAAAACCTTGCCTGGTAGCCCTGGTAGCCTCACCGGAATGCCGTACGAAACATTACATTGAGCAGCCTGACAGCTCAGCAGCATTCAGCTGCTGCAACACGGAGTTGGCTTGTAACTCTGGTGAAGGCGGGGCGGCGCGGCATGCACTTGCATGATCAACTGGAAAATGTTCGAAGCGCCGTGCCAGTATGATCTGACGTCTGCGACCAAACACGGAAGTCAGGTCATCCCTTACACTCGCCCGAACCATAGTTGGTAAGGACGACACGAACAACCCCGCCCAGAATGCCCTGTAGACCTACTGAATCCTAGTGACCTAGTCGGCAGTCTCTGAGAGCTGCACATGGCCGCACGCTGCACATCGTCCAGTCCTGCCGCGTGCATCCATGATGCACCGCTATATCAGGCTCTGTCCAGTCTGAAAGGACCATCGCCACTGCTCGTTTCAGAACCGCTGATAAGCGTCGCGTTTGTGGAGGCCTTTCTATTGAAGATGGAAATGGAGATGATACATTTGTAAGTACCGTAACTCTTCATAAACTGATTTGTCCTAAAGGTAAACATAACCCATAGATGCTGTTCCCAGTAAGACGAAGTAAACAATAATTCAGAAACCAAATATTTGGATTATAAAAATATGAAGCANNACCATCCATAATATATTTCTCTAATTGAAAAGAAAGAGAAAAATATGCTGAATGAATGTCTGATGTATTCCTGTAATAATCTGTAATGAAGTAGTAATTCCTAAAATACAAACCAATATTCAAGAAAATCATGATCAAAGGACAAGGATATGATTGTAAATGAGATTTCATGGAAGATAAGTGAAGGAAATGTGATGCGATTAATGATTTCGTGCTTGTAACTAATGAAAACGTATCACGGTAAAAGATGTAAACCACACTCCGCTTCCAATGAGAAGAAAGCATCACAGGCAAGGATACAAAAGGTTAAAGCAAAATGTACTAAACGAAAAGGTCAAAACTAAGGTGTCCTGAATTATCTGTTGCGTTCTATTGTTTCGCCTTTTGCTCAACAAAATCACGCACTTCTCTTCTTTGCATTTGTGTTTTTGAAACACTATTCTCTTCACATGTTGTTCCCTTTTTGCGCACTCCTTTTGCTTAGTTCTTGCTTAATTTCACTACATCAAAACATAAGCGAAAGAAATGAGAACGAAAAGCTCTCTTCATAACTTCTAATGATCTACTGTTGGGTCTGACAGCCGTTCCCCTCACACCTTAGAACTCATCTCTCAGAGGTGCTCTTTAACAACTCGGCCTGAAACTATTTCGCTGCTAAAATAGGGGAGGTTAGAGTTAGAGCAAGAGGGCGAGCAAACAGTGCCCACCAACCTCCAAAACCCCTGTGCCTCGCGTCTCGCAGACTGGGGGTGTAGCCGAGGCAGGCCAATGCTGGGAATACAAAGCCCTATGACCTAAAACCCACCCTAAGTATCTATGAACTGTCACGTCAAAGCTGCACTGAGAGCGCGTGCGAACACAAACACACACACACACACACGGGAGCTTTCTTTTAACGCTCCAAAATCGCAGCTGCACAGCCGGCCAGCATCACAGCGACGGGGAACCTGTGGCATCACGGGAGCTTCAAGTTTTATCATATTAGACACCCTAAAAAGTACGGCCTTAGATCAAAAAGGCGAATTGGCCAAGCCAGAGTCATTTTTCGACG